TATCCCTCTACTTTAATTCAATCCCAAGGTTTAGATCAACTAAATGGTTTTCAGGCACGTTGGTTCCCCTCCATTCCGATAACATAAGGAAGTCTCCTTCCTGACAAATCGACCTTGGTGAGATTCGAACCTTGTTCTCATGGTTAAAATGCAAACTTTCTAACCACTCGGCTACGTGGCCGATGAGTATATGACGTAAAATTGGGCTTTATTTTGTTATCATTAATAATATAATTTACTCTGAGGTAACTATTGTGGGGCTCGCCCCTTGTCCACAAGATGGACTCGTCCAAAGTATACTTATACTACGGAGAGATAGCGTGAGGAAAACGTCGAGACCGGGTGTTCATCAAGAGTTATACGAGAGTCCAGACAGATAATTACGGCTTCACTTACAAAGACTTGTACATATACTTTTCTACTAACCCGCATTCCTGGACTACTAATCTTCATTTCAACTTTGTATTCTTACGTTTAATACACATATTTTTCTATTTCAATTACTGGCGTGTTTATTTATTTGTGCAGGATTCCCTCCCCGGAATCCACAACAGTAACTAAGCTCAAACAAGAAGCGACATATTAGCAGCTCGTCTCCTATTTGATAAGTTATTTCTTTGAGTTTCTGTTAATACAATGTTTATCAGAGTTGTAAGTTGTTTCCCGTTCAATATCGCAACAAAATATTATATTAGAGCAAATAGGGTGGATAAGGTTGCGTGACCGATAAGTATCTATAGCTGGCCACTCGTATTTAAGGATACCAATACCGAGCAAGCCAAACCCTATTACAGATGCTTGCTATTCAACACCCACCTGTGGTTTATACTTCAATTATACTGAGCAGACCTTAGTTACAGTTTCTGGGAAAGAAACGTGGTCAACAATTTGAACAAGGCCAGCACGCTCAATCCCTCTGCCACGATGACTTATGACTTCGTGCTAGCACACCTATCCACGGTCCCCAATGGATCCGCCTACACGCAAGGTGTAGATCAAACCTTGGTATGTTTTTTCAGGTATTTTCCAAAGGTGTCGCACGCTGAGATCAACTTATCCAGTCGAAAACATCAGGAAATCTCCTTCCTGATAGATCGACCATGTTGACATTCGAATAAGAGTTTTATCGTCAGAATGCGAAAATTCTAACCATTCGGCCTTTGACCATATAAGTTTATGATGTAAAATTGTGCTTTATATTTCAAAATATATTAAGTTATTCTTTGGTTTCCTTCAACAACATCCTTCCCCCCCTTTTTTTTCGTTCTTTTCGTTTCTTCTGCAGGTATTCTAGACAGTTTCATCGTTTCTTTCTTCTGCCGCCCCCTCTACCTATTTTTTAAAAAATATGATTACCGTCTTTTCCTTCCGCATTTCCTTGCCAAACTCTTACACTCTTTCTTCTCTTCCTATTGATATCGTTGTGGGGACCTTCATTCTGATTAGAATGGGGCGGCCATGCTTTTTATTCGCTTCTTTCGTTGGATCTCATCCAATTCCTATGGATTGCAATGTTAGGCTAACTCGATAATCAACCCTGAATGCAATTCTTATTTGTTTCACGGTTCCGTTGCATTTGAAATTCAACGTGCTCTTTTTACGCCAGTCGAGGCAAATGAAATAATTTTTTTTTTTAAGGGAATATTTTTGGTTGCTTAGTTTTGAGTGTGGAATGTCTGTCTAATGTTGCAAGGTTTAAAATAAAATTCTCTTTCTTCAGCTATTTCCTGTTTCTAAAGTAACTTTTTTTTGATTTAATCTATTTTACATTTTGTTTGTGAGCACAGGATTTTTACTCTCGGATCTTTTGACGATTTCTTTCATGTTTTCTTTTTCTATTACATTTTTTTCTTCCTCCTGATTTTCAGTGACAATTTCATTCGTTTTCCTTAATTTTCATTTCCTGTAAAAATTTCCTATGTTTTTCTTTACTTCGTTTTAGATTTCTGTTGCATTTTCTGCTGTCTTTCTTTTTTCCCTTGATTCTTATTCAACTTAAGTTGGCATTCTTTCCTTCCGGATTTGATTCAAAATTTCTTTCTTTCAATTTCATTTTTAAGGCAAATAAAAATATAAGGGAGACGGAAATATAATTAGGATAACAAAAAGGTTTACTGAACTACTATGTAATATCTAATCTCCTATATGGCACCTCATGACTTTCATAAACGAAGCAAAGTATTAAGAGATAGGAAAATGTCATTAGAAACAAAGAAAAGAGTGTTGAACTGCTATGTAATATATAATCTCCTATATGGCATTGAATGATGGACAATCTCCTCATGCCTTTCATAAACTAAGCAAAGTATTAAGAGATAGGAAAATGTCGTTAGAAACAAAGAAAAGAGTGCTGAACTGCTATGTAATATACAATCTCCTATATGGCATTGAATGATGGACAATCTCCTCATGCCTTTTATAAACTAAGCAAAGTATTAAGAGATCAGAAAACGTCGTTAGAAACAAAGAAAAGGGTGCTGAACTGCTATGTAATATCTACTCTCCTATATGGCAGTGAATACTGGACAATCTATTCATGTCTTTCATAAACAAAGCAAAGTATTAAGAGATAGGAAAATGTCATTAGAAACAAAGAAAAGAGTGCTGAACTGCTATGTAATATATAATCTCCTATATGGCATTGAATGATGGACAATCTCCTCATGCCTTTCATAAACTAAGCAAAGTATTAAGAGATAGGAAAATGTCGTTAGAAACAAAGAAAAGTGCTGAACTGCTATGTAATATATAATCTCCTATATGGCATTGAATGATGGACAATCTCCTCATGCCTTTCATAAACTAAGCAAAGTATTAAGAGATAGGAGAATGTCATTAGAAACAAAGAAAAGAGTGAAAAAATAAACAAGAGTTAGAACAAAGAAAAAATATCAATCCTTCTTTATGGCAGTGAATCCTGAACATTCACAAATGATGAGGAGACTTGAGGCAACAGACATTTCTTTGAACAGAAAGATGCTGAGAATGCCATGAAAAGAACATATGAGTAACGAGGAAGTTTCAAGGAAGACTGAAAAAAAGGCGCACACTTTTAATTTGAGGAAGAAATTTGAACTTTGGATTTAGCGGGGAAAGACCCTGCCAGACAGTGAACATATCAAAGCAAAAGTTGTTTGGAAGATGTCAGAATCGATCATCTATATATTCGACTAACTTTTTAACACTGTTACGATAGCAATGAGTTCCTTGATCTAACCCGATTTTTTATATGTCCATGTTTTCAGTATGTTAGTTTTATTGTTAATAGAAGCTAGGCAAGCACTTATATATTTGCGAATGACAGGATAATCTGAAGCATGTATTGGCAACCAACCGCATAATGTCCTTAAACGGATGGAACATAAATTGAGCAAAATATTAAACGGGACGTAAGACATGGAGGCATTTTATCGCCGGATTTTTAGTATAGAAGAAAAAAGAAATGGAACATCGTATAGGCTGCGTAAAGGGTAGTTTCACTGAACACCACATATTGCTACTAAACTAAAACATTATCTGAAAACTCGAGTCATGTTCTTAAATAGCCACTTGAGATCGAGATGTCATGCAAGGTGCCAAACCTGTTCAGATATATCTAAAGAGCCAGCTGTTTATAACCGAGTTCTAAAAGCAATACCTAAAAATAGTTTCGAGCGAGTGAAACCTGATGCAGCGGAAGTAAGGCCAAACGTCTTTCCTCAATCTATATGAAACATATGTGAATATATAAGTCTCTAGGCAGTCGTTTTTGATCTAGAGAGACAAGATGGGTCACCATTACAGACGGTCGAAGTACACAAATCGATACTACAATGGATTGGAAATTTCAGGGCCACATCTTCTGCGCTTAAAAGAAAGCGACCTGGAAGTCTTGGAAATTCTGGATGATGGAAAATTATCGAAACCGTCTACAACAGTGTATGGCGAATATATTTAAAGGATGTTATTTTAAAACCCAATGGAATAAAAATTAAAGTCCTTTGTTTAAACAAGAATGAAATAAATTTTTAAGCAGCCATTTTTCCTGGTCATTTGTCAACCAGTTAAATTGTGTATGTATGTATGTATCTATGTAGATGTGTTTGAGTGTATATTAAATGGTACAAGGTATGTGTAAGTCGAGCATATACATTGCAGACATGCGCGTATACATTACAGAAGCACATGCAAAATTACACGCAGTTTGTAATGGAAAGAGAACCAACTCTTCTTTTATAATATAGATTTTGATGAAGGAACCAACTCCTACCCCAGCTGTCACGTCCATCCAATGTATCTTTAGATTCAAAACAAAAATTACTGTTGAGAAACTAGTTTTCATGTATTTATTCAATGAAATTAAATATTTCTTTTTGCAATATTTATTTCAAACTGATAACAACGTATATTAAGACTATTGGTTGCTGGCATATCTTTAGTCATATATCTTTAGTTATATCTTTAGTCACATCTTCACTCATACCTTTAGTCATATATCTTTAGTCATATCTTTAAACATATCTTTAGTCATATATCTTTAGTTATATCTTTAGTCACATCTTCACTCATATCTTTAGTCATATATCTTTAGTCATATCTTTAATCACATCTTTAGTCATATATCTTTAGTCATATCTTTAATCATATCTTTAGTCATATTTCTTTAGTCATATATCGGTAGTCATATCTTTAGTCATATCTTTAGTCATATATCTTTAGTCATATACCTGTAGTCATATATTTAGTCATATATCTTGTCATATCTTTAGCCATATCTTCAGTCAGATATCTGTAGTCATATCTTTAGTCATATATCTGTAGTCATATCTTTAGTCATATCTTTACTCATATCTTTAGTCATATATCTTTAGTCAAATATCTGTAGTCATATCTTTAATCATATCTTTAGTCATATATCTTGTCATATCTTTAGCCATATCTTTAGTCATGTATCTGTAGTCATATCTTTAGTCATATATTTTTAGTCATATATCTGTAGTCATATCTTTAGTCATAACGACATGCTAGAATCTAACACTCTTAATATTTTTATCTTTTCTGTTTATATTTGCAATAATATCTTCCATGCCTTCCCGGGGGATTGTCGCCAGCACCGCGTCATACGTTCCACTTTGGAGAACTCTTCCTTCCTAGTTTTTAAGTGAGCAGGCTGTTAGCCTGCTGCACACCCCCGCCCAACCTGGAGGACCAGGATGTGTCTTTTGTCGGTTTCCTAACCCACACACTTGTCAAGCTTGGTTAGACCTGCTAATGCCGAAGCCCCCTTCCATTCTGGGGGATCCTTGAAGCACGCAAGGCGTCCTACCACGTCAAGACGACACACCATCTGGCCGGCTTTTCTTGGTTAATATCCTTTTAATTTCTCTCGGTTCTCTGTAACATTCTTAAAGCTAGATTTGTTCTTGCTAATGTTTTCAGTTTCTTTCTTATAAAGATCATTTCAAATTATGCAAAGTGGTAATCCTACTAGTACACAGAGGGTCACAGGGGGGTATTCCTTCCTAATCATGTATTATAACAATAGGTTCAACTAGTCCCACCAAGGTCGATTGATTTTAAATAAACTTTTTTTCTTTAATTTGGGGTTTGAATTTAAGAGATATGCTTGAGTTCATTTCGATACCATAGACTGGTTTATCTTCATTCAACGGAAATTAAACAACAATGAAAAGTAGAAACTAACTTCTATTGGTTGGAAAATGTGGCCAGAGAATTTTAGGCTCCATTAGGGAAGCTGTCGGTTGGTTTAGAATTAATCAATTGTGCAAATGAGTCTACTATAATATAAGCAGAATTACTGGGCTAATTCAGCTGAGATGAGATAGAAATTAAACAAATGAAGCGAGTGTATTGCCGCTGTGAACAAAAATGTCCTCCAATGAAATTCTTTGCATATTGAAGGCAAGAGGGACAGAGGAAAACAGCACGTGACATACATAACAAACTTGTGCAAATCGATCCCAGAATAGGGAATTATAAAGACAACGAAAACACAGCATTTACTGAGAGCTGGAACAAAGGACTGGAAATTGTGGAGAGCCATGATCGCATACGTTCTGATGGTACATAGCACATCATTAGCGTTGCCTTTCGTCGCATAACTATATCAGACGTTTTATATCTCCAACTCCCACGTATATATATATATATATATATATATATATATATATATATATATATATATATATATTAAAAAGTGAAGCGCCTAGCATGAAACAGCCTGTCACCTATAAGTGTTTGCCTTCAATGTTAACTTTTATATTTACACCCTCTCTATCTCTGAGAGCACTTTATCCCATAAATATAGCACACCTTAAGAGTATATTTCTTCATATATATATATATATATATATATATATATATATATATATATATATATATATATATACTAGTTTAAAAGCAGCCATATCGGCATTAAATGTAGCTCCTCCTGCGGAGGGCTTTTGATTGGGCCTTCATCACACTAAGTAGGAAGGATTAGATGCGATAGGCAACAATAAACTACAGAAGAACACAAAAGTGATTGCTGCATTTAAGTATTGCTTTAATATTTAAACTTACCTTTTAAAAGTTCAACAATATTTCTTCTACCGCCACTTACGTACGTACGTAGGTCCTTAATTTCCTTAAAAGCAATCATTTTTATTTCATGGGAGACATTCGCCGGAATTCGTTAATCATTTTCGATTTTTCCCAAATTTATTTCTATTTTATCAGCATTTTCACATGAGATATATTATTTACTATATTAAAAGCTACGATGCGTTTAAGATGGCTCCTGCGGATGGTTCTTGATTGAATAGGGGTGATTAGATGCAATAGTCAACATTAAACTACAGAAGAACTCAAAAGTGATCGTCGCATTTAAGTATTGCATTAATATCCGTACAAACAATTAATTTTATTTCATGGGTGACTTTCGCTGGATTTCGCAATGAACTTCTGTTATTCCCAAATTTATTTATATTTATAAAAATTGTTATCGTACCAAAAATTCGGCGCAAAAAATCACGTTTAAAATCGCCGAAAACTATCGCATAAATGAAACATTGGGAATTCAAAATTTCAGGATTGCGGTTCCCGATCCGGCCCAGGATGTTTTTCATTTGCTCACGGAATAGAGCTGTTTCCAAAATTATATATGTTGGGTTACGTCCTCTAGGAGTAAAGTTGAAAACATGTTCAACTTTATTTTGAAACACTGTAATTTGAGAACAGTATTTTTTTTTTCATTTGAACATGAGCTATTGAAAATTAAAGAGTTGTTTCCCTTAAATTGGTTTTATCAGTAGAAACCAATCCGGCAGTATCCGAAAAGAATCGCAATGGTGAAAACTTTGAGATCCAATATTTCAGGACTGCGGTCAGGAAGGTTTTTAATTTGCATACAGCCTAAGCCTGGTTCCAAAATGGTATGATATGTTGGCTTACAGGCTCTAGGAGAAAAGTTGAAAGTGCGTGACACAGTTTTCGTATGTCATCATCAGGGTATTTGGAATTCTAAGGTTTGCAAGAACAGATTCTTTTTTCACTACTTATTTCATAAAACTCTCCCCAAACATACCTCCCCTTAAACAGTGTCAGCGATCACGCATTGACTCAACGTTCTTCGTTCCACAAGTAAGAAATTTAACTTTCTGATGAACACATAAATTTTGTCTTCGACAATAATGAACACTACAATATTGGTCTTGCAATAAACAATACCCTGATGATGACATTGTGCTATATCGAAAGTACTCGGAAATAAAAGAATTATGTATCAACGCGGCGATTTTCTAATGTCCTTCAATAACGGCACCAAAAAGCTTATCCATGAATATGAAAGGATCCAACTGAAAATAAGTAGACAGAACAAGGTTAAATTATTCAACGAAACATGTCTCAATAACAACAAGCTGCGAAAATACATACACACACACACACACACACACACACACACATATATATATATATATATATATATATATATATATATATATATATATATATATATATATATATATCAGTGTGTGTGTGTTCAATTCTAATCGTTTTATTTCTTACACTTCACATCTGTGGAACTCTCTTCCGAAATTTTGCTTCCCTTTCAGCTACATACTTCGAAGATTTAAATCGCCATCTGCTTTCTTCCTGAATCCTGTGCTTTTCGTCACCTTTCTTTACATTAAAGTTTACTCGTTTTCTTACAGTACAGTTAACCCGTTGCGTCTTCGTGACATTATCGCTTTGCTTGCATTGAAAGGATTTGAAAATTATGGAAACAAAAAGACGCTTCTATTTAGAGTCCTAAAGAGTCAGTTGATAGAAGAAAGCTTCGACACCTGGACACTGGGCAAGATGTATCAAAGGCAAGCAGGACAGAGAGGAACTGCGAGAAACTTCCATGGAAATCGTGTGTAAATGAATGCCAAAAACAGAGTGGGAGGTTTAGTAAACCGACAAATATTGTGTAGGAGTTAAAACGGGCAGGAAATTGTGGAGAGCTATGATCAACCAGTTCCTAAAGGGACATGGGACAAAGAAGATTTGAATACGTAAAACTAATGAACTGAAAAGTATTAGTTCTATTTTACAGACTTTTTCGTTTGCGAATCTATCTATCTATCTATCTATCTATCTATCTATCTATCTATCTCATTCTGTCCATTATCTATTTATCTATCTATCTTTTTCTCTATCTATCTGTCTGTTCAGATCTTTCTATCTTTCTGTCTATCTCAATTTATACATATCTATGTATCTGTTCATATCTATCTATATCAATCTGTTCATATTCTATTTCAGACTGTTCATATTTAACCTATTCTGTTCGTATCTATCTCTCTATCTCAGTCTATACATATCTATCTATCTATCTATCTATCTATCTATCTATCTATCTATCTATCTATCTATCTATATATATGCATATATCAGTCTGTTCATATCTATCTGTCTATCTCAATCTAAACATATCTATCTATCTGGCTATCACATTCTATACATTATCTATCTATCTATCTATCTATCTATACATACATACGTATCTATCTATCTATCTATCTATACATACATACGTATCTATCTATCTATCTATCTATCTATCTATCTATCTATCTATAAGTCTGTTCATATCTGTCAATCTCAATCTATCTCAGTCTATACATATCTATCTATCTATCTATCTATCTGTTCAAATGTATCTATATCAGTCTATAAATATCTATCTCAGTCTGTTCATATTTAACCTAGTCTGTTCCTATCTATCTATCTATCTATCTATCTATCTATCTATCTATCTATCTATCTATCTGTGCATGTATTTCTTTATATGTGTTAGTCTGACTGTCTATCTGTTTTAGATATCATAATCTATCTATCTATCCCATTGTTTTCTGTCTGCTAATATTTATCTAAATGTATTTCTCTCTCTCTCTTTCTCTCTCTATCTCAGTCTGCACTGTGACATAGACGAGACAATCTTGCTACCGACTGGGTTTTTCATTCCAGCAGTAAAAGCCATCACCTTGATTGTTGTGATTCAAAGCGAATAAGTTTCTTTCAGCGGAAAATCGATGTAATTCAATCTTTCCACTAACGTCGCATTCGGTAAACTTATTTCCTTGGAATAATGTAGTTCCTTGCTTTGCCAACTGGGATTCATGATTAGGACAAGTATGAACTCGCTAAAAAAAACGATAACAGTGTACGTGTTGAGCTGAGGATATATATATATATATATATATATATATATATATATATATATATATATATATATATATCTCTCTGTCTCTCTCTCAATATATATATATATATATATGTATATATATACACAAAACACAGAGACACTCACACATATATGTGTTTACAGTCATTAAAGTATGTTTTTGTCGCGTTAGAAACAACAGCCTCATTATTATATATATATATATATATATATATATATATATATATATATATATATATATATATATATATATATATATTTATATTTGAAATTATAACATAAATATGTTATAAAATCACGACAAAAATAACCATTTTGTTCCAACACTTCTGGAGTGTTATAAAGTGAGGGTGTTGAATGTAGAATAAAACCCTTTATTCTACATACAAAACCATCAATTATAAGACTCCAGAAGTGTTGAAATAAAATGGCTATTTTTGTAGTGATTTTATAACATATTTATGCTATAAGTTATGAATAAATAATTATATTTGCTCTACTCTGTATTGAGCATTCTTATAGGAATAGTATTTGTTGGTTATTCGAATTTATTCCGTATACATCAATCCTATACTTATATATATATATATATATATATATATATATATATATATATATATATATAAAATCTTATGATAAAATCACTCATAATAGCGAACTAATCAACTTCTATTTCCACCACATCCAAAGAATATAATCTGGTCTAATCACAGGATTCTACCTCAGAACCCTTATGATATGTAGCCTGGAATACGTAAGTGAAGAAGAGAAATATATTGAGAAAAGAATTTCAACATCATTTCAACCTCAACGCTAAAAATGACCTTACAAAATCCTCAAAGGAAAAAACAGACACCACCAATTTCATTTCTAACAAAATATATAAAATTGATAATCCTGCCCTCTAATATTTTTCTACTAAACACGAAAAGAATATATATATATATATATATATATATATATATATATATATATATATATATATATATATATATATATATGTATGTTAAGAAATGGACGAGGTCCGACAATTTATTTATTAAAACATTTTTATTTATGTTTTAACGTTGTTATTTTATAGATACAAGTATTTAAGCAAATGCTCTGTTTATGATAAACAGTATTAAATAACATTTACAGGCCGGTAAATGTTATTTAATAAATCATAAACAAGCATTTGCTTAAATAAATGTATCTATAAAATAACAACGTTAAACATAAATAAAAATGTCTTTTAAATATATATGTATATATATATATATTGTGTATTGGGGCAGCAGATATTATTTAAACATATATTGTTAAATATAACTGACAGTTAATGTCTATTATATCTGATCAGGAGCCGTTTTAATGTTCGTATGGTTGTTTTAATATATATATATATATATATATATATATATATATATATATATATATATATATATATTAGGCACGGTGGAGTAATAGAAAGTGGCTCGAGAGCCGAGTTCTAATTCAGGCGAATCTATGACATTCACTTACGGGCAAATACCCTTGGGAAAAGTATGAATCAACAGTGGGTAAATAACAGGACAGTCCGGTTTCTATAGCCGGATTCTACCGCAGAAAGAAATGGCAACCTACTCCGGAAAAAAATCTGCCTAATCAAGCATGTCACATAAATGACATATATATATATATATATATATATATATATATATATATATATATATATATCATGCTGGTATATGGTAAATCCTGCTTGATTTTATGTTGGAAAGCCGGAATTTAGAATGCAAATTTTCCATGAAGCAATCCCTTTTTAATCGCAGAATTGGCTCAGCACAGTCTTTTAGTTTTCGTATAGAGTCAAGCGCTTTAAATATCGAAAATGTGTTCTCGCTTACAGAAAACAATATGGGAAACGAGCTTCTTCTTGACATTAGCTAATGAAAAGTAAAATCGAAATAATAATAATAAAAAAAAACAACTGACAAACTTTCAGCTAAATAACACACTTAAGCCATTTAATAATAAATGCTTCGAATCTCATGGAGTTGACGGAATACAAAACTCACTAGAAGAGTTAACGATTTTAGCAAGAAAACCGCGTCCGGCTTTCAATGAAAGACGAGAATCCATTCCGACATGATAGATGGAACTGTCAAAAGATCCATTTTTTCTAATTTCATACTCACCCCGCCGACATTCCCAATCCCAGCCGTATATCACTCCATCTTTATCATCCATTTTATTACGCAGCCGTTTCATCTGTGGCAATTGGTCGACTTCGGGAGTGGCACAAATGCAATAAAATAAGAAACCATTTCGACATTTTAGAGTGCCTTTTCACAAAACAAGTGGACTTCCGAGCCGCACTCTTACCCTCAGCACGACTTCTTCCGGAATCTGAAAAAGCAGAAATACCCCCCACCGCCAAGTTTGTTATATATATATATATATATATATATATATATATATATATATATATATAAAAAAATCTCTTTATTTCTGTCCGTTTCATTCTCTTTCTACCTCTCTTTTCTTGGTCCGTTGATCGTGCAGTAAGCTGTGGCAAGCAAGATGGTCGTCTCCGTCGTAAACTGGGCGTAATTCAAAGTTATTTAAACAACAAATACTCTCTTTACGGTTCCCCTCCGGCAGATTTTGCGCTTCTCTTCAATTTTTTATCGTCTGCTTCTTTCATTTTTTTTCCCGCTTTCGTTTGTCACTTATTCTTTCTCTTATTTTTCACTAATATTTTTTACATTATTGCATGAGTTACTTTACTGAATTTCATATATTTTTTTCCTTTTAACCCTCGTTTTGTTTTTAAATTTATATTTCATTTTAATACCTTATCTTTTTTTGTATTAATTTTCGCTTATCTTTTTTTTTCTTTAAATCTCTACTACTTTGATATGTTATTTTATTTTCCCTAATATTGCAAACTGTACTTTTTGTTTAACAAATATTCTGTTTTTTCACTCGCTATTTTTAATGATGTTTGTCGTTATTAGTATGACTATTGCATTAGTATTTATACCATCAGGAAGCTATGGAGAGACATGAGTGTCCATTAACCTATCTTGATGAAGAAGAAATCTCTAGAGGAGATCCCGTGCTTTGAACGCTTATTCCGACTTAAACACAAGTAGAAATCGTATCCAGAATACATCATTGAAGATACTGGGAAAATAGTCGGTTCCCTGTCACGCTCCAGTAAGTACGTGATCCTCCTGCTATCATGCAGATTTGCAAAAACAGGTCTGACCGAAAATAGAGTACTTCTGTCATATATTTGCATGAGCTACACAGTCTTCCCTTTCCAGTCCCCATAGAGTTCAATATCTCCGCGTCAGTGATTAAATATTTTCCACCCTACAACCTCTTTCTTACAAACGAAATGTCGCAAGCCCCATCGTCGAAGAAAATTAGGAACAGATTAGGTCTTAAAGACGCAAACCTGGGGGCGCTTGAATTAATGCACAATTAATTCTGTGCCGTATAAGTTGAGGGCGTGTCTAATATTAGGTTAAATCATAAATAATTTCCGTTTTTCGTTATCAATTTTATTCTTTAAAAATAAATTATAGGGCGGTCCGAAAGTCTTGTCACCTCTACGTAATATAATTTTCTATTTCAACGCACTGTCGAGGTATTATCAAGGAGAGAGTTTCATATGAATGATGCCAGAATAACTATGTTTTGAAGGATGCCGTTTGGAGAGTCTTTGGAACAATCAACAAAGCACATCTTCGTATAATACACAGCCTCATCATTTTTTGCCAGGAAAATAATGGTGCTCCTAGAGATCTTCTCAAAGTGTTACAGCGTCAGTATAAGTGAATAATCTGAATCCAGTCCATGCGCATTGAATTACTGTATTACTTGTTCTTTTATTGTTCTCATTACTTTTTGGTAGGGGATGACAGGACCTTCAGACCACTCTATAGATAGATAGATAGATAGATAGATAGATAGATAGATAGATAGATAGGAATAGACTGAGATAGATAGATATGAACAGAGATAGATAGATATAAACAGACTGAGATAGATAGATAGATAGATAGATAGATAGATAGATAGATAGATGGGAACAGACTGAGATAGATAGCTGCGGCATTTTAGCCAGACCTTCTCGGCGTGTGACAGTGTCAATGAAATTCAATAAACTGAATCCAGTACATGTTCTTTGTATTACTGTATTACTTGTTGTTCTATTGTTCTCATTACCTTTTGGCAGGGAATGACATTACCTTCAGTCAACCAGATAGATAGATAGATAGATAGATAGATAGATAGATAGATAGATGTGCTTTGTATTACTGTATTAATTGTTCTTCTCATTACCTTTTGGTAGGGAGTTTCAAGACATTCGAACCACCCTATAAATAGGAAGGTAGATAGATAAATCGATAGATAGATAATGAGACTGACTGAGATAAATAGATGATGTATGGATAATGGGCAAACTGAGATAGTGTTGCCTTGATCATAACCTTAAATAGTCTACGATTAAGGACTTCAGCAGTTGATTAATAAGTCGATACTAAACGGATTAATATTCCGACTAATTTTACTTCGTTTGGCTATACAGGCATTTGGGCCTCCTTTTTTCCTTGTAAGTTGTCTTGTTAATTGTTTTGTAACGTATTGTTCTGTGTTTTT